GGGGGGGGGGGGGGGGGGTTGCAGACCCCCCAATAATTTGCTAATAATCATTCTTTTTTCAAAATCATGCAGACATTTGTCATTTAATCCATGCCAAACTGCAAAGAATGAAGATATTGCCCATATTTCCCTGCAACTTATCCAATATATAGTTAACTAAACACGCCTTAATTCGCCCATTTAGTACTACTACATTGTAATCACCAACACAGCAAATATCATGAATGTAAGGTGTGTTCAATAACACACTTTTTTTAATGAAAACACATCTTGGTGTGTTCTACAACACACCTCCTACTAATTTATATAAACACATCTCATAATTTATATAAACACACATTTTGAAGAATTCCGATGATTATAAAGTACATCAAAACGATTCTGCGAGTTGAAACCCAATCTCTTACGATTCTGCTCGACCAACAAACATAGTATATATTATATGTGAACGTACAGTATTTAAAGTATTTCATTGCAGCGAAACCAAGCCTATTGCAAAACAAAGCTTTAAGCTAAGTCGAATCGACATACCGTTTGGACAGTTAAATCTCAGGCAAAACTAGCAGGTAATCACTTGTCCTCAATATAAACTTCGCATACCGAAAATTCTTTAAAATATAGATCTCGGCAATTGTTATCAGTCCCGTCTTCGGCTCGTCGGTAACACTTACCTCTACCTTGATAATTCTATTATTATACGACGCACTATACCGTCGCAATTATTTCGTTCAATTAAATTCATCTCGATTAAATTATCTAGAGTACAAGTGCTGCATTCTGAATAAGTGCTACAAAATTCCACTTACTATAATTATAACATTCATATTATACTTACTAACTTACTAACTTTTCAAAAAAATATAGGGTTATTATTCTACATTTGTATAGCTATCATGCGTAGTTGGATCCATGCATTCTCGAGATAATTTTCGACTAATGATTAAGAAGACCAGTACAGTATATGTAGTGTATTTTACTCACCGAATTTATGAATTTTATAGACACGCTGTTTTCTTGTTCTTGAGAATTAAGTAAGTTTTGAGAGCACCTATCAGGTTGCCAGCTTTAGCACAACTGCAGTTTTCTCTTTGATTTGCGAAATCATTAACAATTCAGATTAATTCCAGTGACAGCCAGCCTGCGAAGCAGATCGGTTTTTGGGGGACGATTTGCGTGCGGGAAAATTAGAGCGGGAGAACTGCGCGCGGGCGGAGAAAAGGGGGAGGGGCGTGAAAAACCGCCTGCCGGTTTTCCATATGTTTTTGAGTGCCGCCCATTTTAATAAGTTAATTCAAAATTGACATCAAATCGATGGGTTAAATGAGGCTCTCATATTACGCACTTGACGCTCAAACTTAAATTTGGGAACTTTGAGAAAACTGCAAAGGTATATATAAAGGTTTCAAACCACGATAAAACTACAATCGAACCGGGTGTTCTTTTGCGAGCAACTTTGCTATAGTGAGTCACAACATCAATGTTGATGTACAAATTTCTCGGAGCAAACTGTAACCATTTTTACAAGTTGCACCCCAGACGCTACAATATTTTAAAAATATATTTGGTTTTCATGAGCGAACTACTTGTACAAGATCGATTTATAAAGTTCTTATTGGCAAATGTAACTGTTATTCAATTTTTACAGTATTCATTTTGAGATGATTTATTACATTAGTAGATTTCATTCAAATTTGTCATAATATTGTTAAATTGTAAGCAAGCTCTCGTTCGATATTGCGTTTATAGACAAGATATATAGCGTTTAGAATTTGAATTTCGAAAAAAAAATACGTCGGACAAATTCGTCATTCTTTATATTGTAATAAATTGTGAATCTACAGTAACGATGAAAACTCACTTGTACGTCGGGACTTGAAGTCTTGCCCTGAATGAGTGATGATAGGTCGGTGTTTAATTTAATAAATTTTTAGAATGTACTCATCTTCTCGATATATTCTTGAACTATATTTTCAATCTATCATCATCTATACCCTAGAATTAACTGACAAAGCTTTACTAATAATGGTGAGCAAATTCGTAATAAATCTTATACAAATTGTTGGGCAAACATATTTTCAAACATATTTTCAAAATATTGTGGCTTCTGGCCGGCAAATTGTCAAAAGCTGTTGCAATTTGCACATCAACATTGAAATTAGTTGTGAGTAAAATAAACCATGGTGGCTCGATAGTCAAAATAGGGTCATTTTGAGAGCGCTATTTATTATAGTGCAGGTGCTTTTCTGATAATTTAATTTGAATGAGTACATATAATGGTCCAATATCTTCAACTTACAGAATCCTTTTTGGTCATATCTACAGTTGCTAAGGAGTCACACCGTTTTCCCCACCCAACCCATTTTTAAAGTCGTCAAAGTGTTGGTCACGCCAACAGTGATTTCTCCTAAACGAATAGTGCTAGGGGTCTAAAATTTTCTAAGTGATATATGTAATACAAAAACTGTGCAATGACCTATTATTTTGCAGATATTCTAATGCTTTCATATATTTTGGGCTTTCTCAAAATTGATAGGAAAAATGCTCCAACAACATGTTGTCCAAAGGCTCTAAATATTGCTTGGGGTAGTGAAACAGGAAAATAATAGGTTATTGCACAGCTAATACTTGTATGAATTCAAAGTGAAAATTTCATGCTTATATTTAAAATACTTCTCAAGATATTGCAAATGTTGGCTCTCGGAACATTAAAATTCTCAAAAATGAGAAAAATCACTCTGATGTTTGATTTATATGTTAAACTTGAACCAAAGTTCATGTTCCCAATTAGAAAGCGCCAGCCTCATACTGGGGTTCCTCTTTTGCTTCCTGGGTTTCATTATGCCGCTTTTTCTACTGTCTAATTTTTCTGCCGCGTTGTTTGGATGCATCAGAGCTCTTTTGGCGCGAGTGCCGAATGCGGTCAATATCAATCTTCTCACAAGCTTCGGTAGAATATATTCCAGGGTCAACACCAAGATTTTCCAAAACAGATAAAATTGTTCAGGATCCATTATTGAGGTGACCAACTGCAAGATAGGTAGCCAATTCAACAGTAGGAAGACTGGAATGGGTGCATTGAATTCTTCGTTTTGGTTATGCGTACCACCATGGAGGCTTCGTCGCCATGTCCCGTCAGCTGAAATACCAATATTATATAGTTGCCACCCTCTTCCACTTCATAAAATTGTTTGGTTTCTTGACTTGCATTATTCATGCTTTACAAATGACTTCAGCATGGATGGCAACAACTTGATCTCTGTATGCATTCTCATTCATGGGTGGTGGCATGTTCATGGTTCCGGCGGATTTTGAGGGTCCTCTGTGACCGATACCAATGTTTCCTCCAGCCAACACAGCTCTGCGATTTACCTCAAAAGCTTTACCATTATGAACAGTTTCTGATGTATAAAACCTCCTTAAGTAATTACAATTCTGAGCTGAACATTCGAAAATCAACTGCAAAGCAAATACCTTTTTTAATTCCAAATTCTCCTTCATGATCACATGGCCACAGGTCCACAGCAACAATCAGGACACCAAAAAGTCTACATGATTTCTGTTAGAATTTCGACATCAATAAAAGGGAAACCTTTTTTACCTTCTAGTGATTCACTTTCATCCTCGTTAGAACTTTCTAAATCAAGATTTCTCACAGAAGTAGGCATCTGTATCTTTGGCTCAACAAAACTCTCGCTTGACTTCTCGGTAACTTCAGTCGATCAGCCAATAGCTTGTTGAGCCGCTGTGTACAAACATTTCCAGTCAAATTCCTTATCTTCCTTCTTATACTTCTAAATTTCTTCTCAGACGACATTATTCAACCGAATGAGATCGTTTTATATAATACTTTCTTGACTCACATGCGAATTGTAAAAAACATATTTTTTTTAACCGCTCCTTTAGCAGTTGTAAACTAGTTAACAGGCCTTTATCCACTTTCCATTTAAGGGGGCTTGCTAACGTTTTTCGGAACCCTCAGATGCAAAAATACGGCATTGTTTAGCGCAAAAACATGCAAAAACAAATATGGTTACCATGGCAACAACATCCTAATTTGACAAACTAGTATACTGAATGCCTTATTTTGAAGAAAATAAGCAATGTATCCAAATAAAACTTTTTTGAAGCAAAAGTACAAGGGTCCCACATGCAAAATTTTATATTTGCACAAAATTTTTTTTTCAGAAATTTTGACTATCGAGCCACCTTAATTGTTTTAGCCTAATCGTATTTCCCGTTCACCAGTGGACTGGCCATTAAAAAACATATCGGGAACACCAGCAGGCGATTTTTAACTCCCCTCTGTTCTCCGCCCGCGCAGTTCTCCCGCCCTATTTTTTCCGCCCGCAATACTCTCTAATAAACCGTTTGCTACGCAGACTAAGTGGAAGCAAATTTAGCTTCTTTCGATTTTCCTACTGGCCTGGCATCGAACGTCAGTATGTCACGTTCATGCAGCAGTAAGGGGTCTACTATAGTTTGGCGGTTAGACGGTTTTGGCTTATTTGAGAGAGCGGTTTTCGGATATATCTCAATTTCCGTAGCGGTTTACGGTGAAGAAGTTATTGCTCAGCCGACGTTGATCATAGTTTATATTTTACATGACCTCGTTTTGAAGATTGGATGCTTTCACAAAAACACCATCAAATGAATCGGCAGTGGCGCTGCTAGCCACAGCAACAGGTCATGATATGCAATAGCCTGCGTAGCAGGCGTTTAGCTGACGGGCGGGTACAGAGGAAACGCCTGCCCTAATGGCTATGACAAATTTGTTTTCGCCCATTAAGGATGATTGACGTTTTGTAATTAGTTGTAATTAGCACCTTCCCCCATTATCCAATCATACTCATGAATTATTAGTGAGTTTTTGAAGCTATTTTAGACAACAGTCACAACACGGAGCCTAGTTTTATATCTTTTAGAAGGCTCCTGCAGAACCACGGTTGTTTAACGTAATCTGCCGTATAGTAAATTAAGAACCTCATTAATAATTCATGAAGAAAACACAAAGAAAAATCATAAGCGTGTCGTATCTGTATATGTGATACAGATTCACGTTGATTTACATAAACTTTAACTTTGATTTTCTCGGCTTAGACAACGTTTATTTTTAAAACTAGAAGTTACTATCGCAAGGAAAGTGCTGCCTCATTCCCAAGGGGTCAAAGGCAGCATGCACAATTTGCTGAATAAGCAGCTGTTTTTATGATCCCGCTTTGCCAGGATGATATATGAGGCGGGATGATTTAGATGTATTTAAATAAATCACGGTGTACACTTCAGCAAAAAACTTCATTATTTTCGAGAGATAGCAATAGTTATCTGCAAACTGAAAGGTTGTTGAAGCAGCAATAATAATCTTCTTGAACTACAAGATCTGCTCTACAACATTTGAGTTTTGTTAACCAGCATTTGGACTTTCGTTTAGCCTATGGACGTATTTCAATACATCAAAATCATCCCACATTCCATCATGTAAACAGCCCCTTGGCCGAAGATGCCTGTTCAGGAGGTAGGGAAAGTGCAATTTGAATAGCAACCACCTTGCACAAAGTCAAAGGTCAGCTAAATATTGTAATTCTACTTTCTTGGCATGCCAAATTTATATGAATTCCTTCAATGCTTATAACTTCTTGTTTTTGTATGCATAATTATAATTACTGTCAGCACTGGTGAAGCTAGCCATAGTAACAGCTAGGTCATGCTATGGTTTTTAATGATTTGCATTGCAGGTCTATTAGCACACCATGACCAGTTACCATGGCTAGCTTGCCACTCAATACTGAACAATAATAGTTATAATACCATATGTACGTATAAACAATAATAATACTTGAATGAATCATTGGACACATAGAATTTAATAACAATTTCATATATAGAAATACTAAGTCAGTTTTTTTCCCAACTATTGTTTTAATGGCACCTTCAAGGCTACCTCTATTGTAGAACAACTGAACAATCTGCTGATGGGAGACAGAATCTATATTTGTCGACATTTTTGTTTAATATGTCAGTTTCAGATGGCACCATTCATTTGTAAAGACTAAGATAGTGCCATAGGCGTACCGGGCGGGGGTGCGGGGAGGGGGGCGGTAGCCCCCCAGTTTTTTGGGCAGTCGGGCAATATTCGATTAACAGTCGTGCAATTTTGGTTTGTTATAAAAATAAATGGGACAAATTCTGTCAATTTTGTCCAAAATGTAGTCAATTTTGTGGCCAATGTAGAGTTTTTTTGAAAATTTTTGTGTGATGTTACGAAAAATTTTGGTATGTCCGGAAAATTTTTTTGACCCCTAAAATGGTACACTGACCGAAATTTTTTTGGCGACGGGGGAGGGGGGGGGG